GCTCCGCTGCAACTTCTCCAAAATTCCACGCAGGCACAGGTGCCCCTAGGGCAGTGTGGGAGCTCCGGCCCCTGGCTTCCTCTGGATGGGGGGCTTCAGGGCAACCTTTGGGCCAACAGCCCCCTGGGAGAAGGAAGAGATAACCGATGTTGAAAACCACCTGTTATAAAAGGCACAACTAAATTTTACTTCCTTTAACATTTCTTAAAACGTAGATTCTTAGTTCATCCACCAACAGCAGGGCCTACTGCATGCCGGCGGCGTGGCAGCCGCAGGATTAACAGCCCGCTTGCCACAGAGGAGACTTTCTTCCCTGTAGCTGCTGTGGGGAAAGTCAGGCACCACCAACAGCCGGAGGGTGGGGGCAGCGTCTGCTGGGAAGTCCCCTGATGGCAGCGCAGACGTCACGGGATGCTCACCGCCTTTCCCTGGCACCACGGGGAAGGTGTATCCACAGATAATTAGAAAAACCCCACCCTCCAGGGCAGTGCCACGGCGAGCCAGTGGGAGGCCACGCCCCCCAGCGGACCCCGCCCGGTATGTGCTGGGGCCTCACCTCAGCTGCACCAGGCTTGGCTGTGCCAGCCCCGGGTTTGACTGGGGGCACTGGGGGTGTGAACGTCGGCCTGACGACCTGGGAGGGAAACAGACGCGGCTGACGTGGGCACCAGGCAGTCCCGGCCTTAAACCAAGCCACCACCTTCGTGTCCTGGAACAAGCTCACCACAGGCCATGCTCTGCCCCCAACCCCCCAGGGCCTGCAGGCTCCGCCCCCACGAAGATCGCTACAGAAAACCTCTCCGGGCTGCGCCACCCACAGAATGAAGCCGGCAGAGGCAGAGCCCCATCCCTGGCCCAGTCCAGCTGCGGCCACACCTTCCACACCCCCGACCCGACCCCCGTGTTACCCTTGAAGAGATTTTTTCCTTTTTTTTTTTTTTTGTTTTGTTTTTGAGTCCAGGTCTCCCTCTGTCACCCAGGCTGGAGTGCAGTGGCGTGATTTTGGCTCACTGCAGCTGCCTCCTCCTGGGTTCAAGCAATCCTTCCACCTCAGCCTCCTGAGTAGCTGGGACTACAGGCACAAGCCACCACACCCAACTAATTTTTTATTTTTTGTAGAGACAGGGCCTCCCTATGCTGCCCAGGCAGGTCTTGAACCCCTGGGCTCAAGCCCTCCTGACTCAGCCACCCAAAGGGCTGGGATTCCAGGCGTGAGTCACTGTGCCTGTCCTGAAGAGCTCTTAAGTTGCTGGACTGTGGGGTTTTGGAAGCTCAAAGGCTGATAGTTAAAACTAAAATGTGTTTCTTTGCATTTCAGCTTTCCCGTGGTAGGGAGGCTGGACATCCAGCACACAGAGCTGTGTCACCCGCTCCTGGCTGCGTCACCTGGAGCCTGGGCAGGCTGAGCATTTGCTGTTTCCAGCAGCTTCCAAAGGCCCCTGCTGAGCAGCCAGGGGAGGCCGGCGGGCGTGAGGGCGGGCGATTTCCCTCCTGTGGTTCTCCTGCAGCCTCTGCCTCACCTACCTTTGCGCCTGGCGACCATCGCTTCCGTGGCCAGAAACCTTTGCCCCCAGGTCCCTGTTTTGCCTGTCCAGACCCCTTCTAGGACTATTTCTGCAACTCATGTATAAGTCTGAAGTTAGTTCAAATAAAAAATTGAAAAGGAAAGAGAGAAATAGGAAATCACTCTTAGGCAAACAGCACAGAACAACTGGTGCAGACAAGATTCCCCAGAGCTCGTGGGTCCAAGTTCAAGGTTTAGAGTCTCAGGTGTCTCCCCGAGGCATCTGCTAACTATACAAAGACGACGGGGGTTTCTAGGGAAAAATCCATGGACGCTGCCCCAGCCAGGCGCCCTGTCAGCATCACCCCTGACCGACGCTGCATGTGGCCAGGCCTGGGCCGTGTCCTGGGAAAGACGCCTCCAATGCTGCTCCTGCCCACAGCACTCTGCCTTCATCCACACGAGGAAAGCACAGGACAAACCCCAGCTGAGGAAAGGCAGAGGGGCTGGGGCCCAGTGCCAGGGGAATCAGGGCTAGAGGAGGGTTCTGGAGACAGTGGGTGGCACCGCACGGGTGGCACTGTGACATGGGCAGCACCATGTGGGTGGCACCAGGTGCGTGGCACTGTGACATGGGCAGCACCATGTGGGTGGCATCAGGTGCGTGACACTGTGACGTGGGCAGCACCATGTGGGTGGCACCAGGTGCGTGGCACTGTGACGTGGCCCCTCAGCTGTGTGGCCGCCCATGGACATGCAGGCACTGACCTGGGAGTAGGCCGGGCAAAGAGCATGCAGGATTCTCCAGGCTATTTTTGCAATCTTTCCTTAAGTCTAAAATTTGTTCAAAATTAAACGTTAACCAAAGAAAAGCCTCTACCCAGAGGGTAAGGTCTTGCCGGCCCAGTCTTCCCTGCACAACCCCGTCCTAAAGCTGACCATGAACCTCTGTGGAAGGAGGTCCCTGGAGATGCACCACAGAGCCCCCCACCTGCCTGCCACAGTCCTGCCCTCTTTCTTTGAGGACAGAGACTGTTCACAACGTCCAGCCATGCCAGGTGGCCTTGATGGTGCCACTGGGACCCTGTGCCAGGCCCCAGAGAGAGAGCCCGGCCCTTTCTGCTGCCCTAGCTAAGCCAGTGGCCCCAGGAAGGGTGCTCTAGGGTCCTTACCCACCACGGCCAGAGCAGTTCCCCAGGGCTGAGGCCAACTGGCTGCCCTGACAGGGTCCAAAAAGGGCTCCAAGTTTAGCACAGAGATGGGAGCCAGGGCACAGGGGCAGGATCCCAACTCTGGGGTGACATGGAGGCCTGGGAGTTAACCCTCGATACAAAATCCAGGTTCTGAGAGATCTTTTCAAAACCCCCAAAGCCAGGGGAAGCACTGCAACACGGCCTTGCCCTGAGCCCGCCCACCCATCTGTCCTGCAGGGCCCAGGGACCCTTGGATCTGCTGGAACTTCAGCTCTGCGAGGGGCTTGGTAAGCGGAACAGTCTGAGCTGAAGCAGGAGCCAGGACCCCCAATCCAGCCCCAGTGCAGGGCGGGACGGAGCCGCTGCCTCCCCGAGGCCTTGCTGACCTGCCTTTCAGGCTGATGTCCTCATGAGGCCGAGCTAACCAGCCTTCTGTGCACAGCGGGGGCCACCTGGGAGGTCGCTGGCCCCGATGCAGTGCAGGGACCCCAGTCCCAACAGCAAGGCCTGGACGCCCTCCGATGGGTTCACTGCCCAATCACACTGCTCACCTGCTTTGGCGGCAGCTGGGTATAGACAGGAACTGGGAAGCGGGTGCTGGACACAGCGGCCGGAGGCTGGAGGAGACAGGGCCGAGAGCCTGGGTCACAGCTGGGGCCAAACCCCATGCCCCCCCTGTACCCCCAGCTCCACGACTCCAGGTTCCGCCTCTCGCGTGTGCTGGAGGGGTCTGCGCAGCTCACGGGGGCCCACCCTTTCCTCCAAGAGCATTTGCATCTGCCCTCAGGTGGGCTCTGCTGAGGACAGGAAGGGCCTCTGGCCTCAGAGCACCAAGTTCAAGTTCAAGTTCTGATTCTGTCACGGCTCAAGGGGGCCCGGAAGCACCCATTCCCAAAGCCTCAGTGTTCCCAGCAGGGCAGCCACAGCAGCTGCCCTGGGCCTCAGGCTACCGCCGTCCCCTGCACAAATTTCACAAAAGGGCTCTGCCAGTGGCAGCTGCACACGGGGTCGCAGGATGGGGCCTGGGCACTGCTTTCAGCCCCACGAACCCACCAGGGGCGTTGCTTACAGCAGGGGGCGGCCTCTTCAGGGCCATAGAGGAGGCCGGGTGTCCAGCAGGCTGGCCCAGGTGGGTGGTGGGGACCTGCTCGTGGGGGACCCTCGTTGGGGCTGGAGCCCCGCCCTTGGCCAGCACACTGCGGGGTGCCTGGTGGAACAGGGGGTTGGAGCGTCCCATGGTGGTCTTGGGGGCCGCGCTCCTGGGGAGGAAGCACAGGGCACGTGGTCAGTGTCTGGCCTCAGGGCCCCAGCACCACACCCCGAGTCTGTTCCTCCCAGCTCCAGCTGACCCGAGAGGCTGCAAACAGAGAACAGGACCTCTGAGACAGACAGGCCCAGGAGACGGAGTGGACCCTGAAGAGGCAGGACACCCCTCCATCTCCTGGGGGCCCCAGTTAGGTGGGCGGGAGGTGCTTGGAGGCTATGGAGCCAGCACGTCCCGCTGCATGGGCGTCTCCTGCTGTGTGAGGGTCCAGGTCCCTAGAGCAGGGCTCAGCCCAGCATCCGTGATGTCCCCGTGGGTCCATGCTGGGCGTTCCTCCCTCCGGCAGCAGAGACGTTCCCCACAGCCGAGCACCCGACGCCCACACCACCCTCCCTCACAGCCGCCGCCGCCCTCACCTGCTCTCAACGCGGCTCCGGGCTTTGCGGTAGATGACACCGCCTACCAGCGTGACCACCACAACTGCCAAGAGCACCAGGACCACCACCAGGACCACGGGGAGGGTCTCGGACGCTGTGGGACGCATAGCCCCATGTCAGCCAGGAGGGCCACAGCCTCAGGCAGGGGTCAGGGAGGTTCCCAGAGCCACTGCCTTCCTCAGCGCCCCAGGCCCTACCCTGTGGGCCCCACGGGGACGACCCGACACCTTACACCGGCACTCCCAGCTCACCAGGGCGGCCCTGGGCTCACAGTGCTGTGGGCACAGCTGTGCCTCTGAGGCCTGATGCTCTGCACAACCATGCGCCCAGTGGCTGCTGGGTGGAAATGGGCCGAGGAGGGCCTGGAAGACTGGGCTGAGGACACTGGAGTCTCAGCTCACAGCCGTGCACTGACATTGCCCACGGCCCCTGTGCCTCCCCCTGGGACAGGGCTCCCCTTCTCACAGCGGCCTGAGGGGCAGACAGGCTCTGCCTACCCCTGTGGGGGACGTCCGTGGGGGCAGACAGGCACTGTGACCACCACCAGGTTCCTGGCTCCATTTGGGGCCTGTGAGCTTGGGCCCCAGCCCCACCTGTGCTAGCCAGGGAGCCCTACCTGTGTGCGCCTCAGTCAGCAGCTTCGCGCAGTGGGGTGGGGCCCAGCCCGCGTGGCAGTGGCACTCCTGCTTGTGGTTGCACACCTGTGGGGATGGCCAGGCTCAGGGCCAATCCCAGTGCGGACTCCAAGGGGCAGTGGGGTCTGTGCATCTAGCACCAGGGCCCCTGGCCGGCCCCACCACTGAGGGCCCCCTAAGCCCCCACTCTCGTGCACTGACAGCAAGGCCTCGCTGAGTAACCCCTGACCACTGCCCAGTGGCCACGGAAGTTCCATCCACGGAGGACACCAGGCCGGCCTCAGCCCTGAGTCGGGCCCCACCAAGACCCCCATAGATTCGATACGCTGGGCTCACCCAACCTTAGGCTTCTGTGACCAAAGCTGCCCCCAGCACCGGCTCCAGGGGCACTGTCCTGAGAGGCCACACGTACCCCATGGTTGTGGCACTGGGCAGAGCAGTTTCTGGATCTGTAAACGTGTAAGTCCTGGCAACGTCCTTTCCAGCAAACCTGGGGGTAGGAGGTGTCTCTCAGGCAGCCGCTCTGGACCCCTGCCCTGCCAGTGTCCTTTGAAACTGCTGAGTAAGCTGGAGAGTGGGCTGTGGTCACCATGTCCAGGATGGCCATGCCTCAGCCTATCTGCTGGCTGCCCACCCCTGGAGCCCCTGGAAACAGCCCCCCTGGGGCGTGTGGCAGCTGGTGACAGCCATCAGATGAACTGAGAACTGCGCCTCCAACCCCAGCAGCCTTTCAGCCTCTACTACAAGTGTGGAGAGAACTCTTCCTACAGTTTCAAGCAGCTGCTGAGCTCAGAAACGCATCCACCATGCCCACATGGGGCACACGCTCGCAATGCCTGTGGGTGGGGCAGCCTCTGAGCCACTGGCTCACCTTCTCCGGTCCGCATTGGGTGCCTTCGGGCACTGGCTCGTAGGCAACACCACCCTCTGTGGTAAGCGCATGGCATACGTCATTCAGGATGCAGGAGCTGCGCCCCGGGGGATGCTGCCCGCCCTGGCATTGCAGAGTGCCACACATGTCGGCCCTGTGGACAGAGGGCAGGTCGTGGGCCAGCTCGCCCAGGCACGTGCTGGGGGCCAGGAGCCATGGCAGGCTGGGGCCACGGTGACCCACCTCTCCCACAATACGGCACGCTTGAGCCTGGGGTCCATGGGTCCAGGGCAGACCCCTTGGGGGCAGGACTCCTTTGTGGAGGGCCCTCTGGGGCTGGCCCAGCTGTGGGAACATCACGTCATCTGGGCTTAGGGGAATCTGGTCTCAAAAGCTCACCTGTTCCGGCTGCTCCTGCAGTTTGGTGAGACGTCGTAGAAGAAGCAGGACTCCTTGGCAGCATGCCCACCTGCGGGTCAAGGAGCTAGGGTTAGCCTGTGGCAAGGCCTGTGGCCTCCCTGCCGGGCCACCTCTGTGCCACTTCACCTGGCCCCCATAAGGCCTGGCACCGCTGGGCCAGGGTAGGGCAGGTCCCGTTGTAGCAGTAGCCCCCAAAGCAGGGCGTGCCGTTCTCCTGGAAAGCGTCTTCCGGGCACTCGGGGTGCCGGCCGTCACAGAACTCCTCCAGGTCACACGTGTCTTTCTGGGGGCGGCACGGCTCACCAGCCAGCTTCACCTGGCCCAGCAGAGAACAGCTCACCATGGGGACAGGGCCACGCAAGCTGCCTGGTCCCTTGCGCCCCAGGGTCCCCTCCCACCTGCCTGCCGTGGGCTCCAGGGGTGCCTGGTGGGAGGCTGCACTGCCAGCTGTGGGCTCTGGGGGTCCCCTCCCACTGTGGGCTCCGGGAGTCCCTGGTAGGAGGCTGCGCTCACCCTGCACTCCTGGCAGCAGGTGCCATGTGCACACTGTGCCCCCTGGACCAGCTGGCAGGTGGTGGAGTTGCAGCAGCGGTTCCGGCATTCCTGGGGCAACAGCAAAGGGCAAAGGCCTCGGCAGGCTGCCCGGGGTAGGATGGGCCGGCCGCCTCCCCTAAACACTGGGGTGTCCTGCAGCCGCTCCCTCCCTCTGACCCCTTCGGACACACGGAGCCCTGGGTTCCGCATGTGGTTGCGGCAGTCACCTTGGTCTAAAGGGACAGAGGTCTCGGCACCACGCAGACAGGGGCAGGTGAGGGACAAGCGGGTGTGGGGCGTGGGCGCACCTCGGGGGGGCCGCAGTCGCACTGCTCCCCACTTTCCACAAACAGGTTTCCGCACACTGGGCCGCCCACCAGGAGGCTGAGGTCAGGGGCGTTGGCCAGGCAGGTGGACTGCGGCTGCTCCAGAAAGCTCTCCAGGTAGGCCTGGCTGCAGTCACTGAACATCCTGGGGAATCTGGGGCTGAGGGGACGGCCTGTCAGGGAGGGGCAGCCCCTCCCCACCGACCTTGCACCCCCAGCTGTCCAGGGCCCAGCCCCTTCACCTAATCCTGCCTGCCATGATGCAGCGGATGCCCTCGGAGGGCTCCCGGCAGTGGCAGCCGTGGACCTGCTCATCGTGGTCCATGCCCAGGTTGTGGCCCATCTCGTGGGCCATGGTGCAGGCCACGCCCACGGGATTCTTGCTGTGGTCCTGTGGGAGGGGACCGTGCTCTCAGGAGCCACGTGGCTGACCCCCCACACCCGTCAGCCTCACCCCACCAGGGCCCAGGGCTTGGCACAGCTCCCTACCAACACCACCGTAAGGCATAAAATCAGGCATGAACCAAGCCTGAGGGGAGGCGGCTGCTCAGGCCTGCTCCAGTGACTCCCGGCCTGGCAAGCCCGGGCAGGGGCCCCCTCACCTGATTCACAGCCCCCGAGCTGTGGGAGCACATGGCAGACACCCTGGCAAACCCCACGGTGTCCCCGGTGAAGTCCACGGCCCTGGAAGTGAGAGTAACTCAGGTGCCCTGGATGCAGCTCCCTCCCCTCCTCCTGCCCCAGCCCTGCCTGCCCCCGCTCCCACACCCTGCCCACCCCGCCCAACTGCACCCACACACCCTCCCCAGCCCCACCTGCTCCCCGGCTCACGTGATGAGCTGCACGTTGTCATGTGGGCGCCGCCGCGTCAGTCCCTGCGCCCGCCAGGCCAGGAGGTTCTCCAGTGTGACGCTGAAGTTGGGGCTGACGTGGAACCTGTCCTGGCCATTCCAGATCTCCAGGCCCACCAGGACCACACGGATGTTGAGTTTCTGATATAGCTGGAGAGGTGGGGGAGTCCAGGGGTTCAGGAGGGGTGGCGAAGGTACGATGGGGAGGGTGGCAAAGGCCACATCTGTCCTGCAGTGAGGCGGAGCCGGTAACGGGTGCCAGGCAGAGCCAGAGCAGGCAGAAGGAACCCCATGGCAACACTCCCCCACCCACCCGCCAGGGGCTCCAGCACCCCCGCAGTCAGGGCGGCTGCTCACTTTGTCCACGTGGTTCACCACCTCCAGCACCCGATGGCGCACAGCGGCTTCGCTCCCCACCTGCTGGAACTGGACACACGAGACCCTCAGGCTGGAGCCCACCCCACCCACGCCTGCCCCACATCGGCGGCCCTCCTACCTTCCCCAGCCCCCCAACCCACAGCCAGCCGCCTTCCCCACCCCTCAGCCCCCCGTCACCACCCTCCCGCCTTCCCCACCCCCGCACCCACCCCACCTCTGCATTATCTGTGACCACGTACAGCTCCACGTAGCGCGTGCCTCTGAACGACGGAGGGCCCTGGGGAACAGCCACAAGAAGCCAAATAGCCTTCCCAGCCTCAGGGCCTGAACCCTCCCTCAGGGCCCCGCGGCCAGTGTCCTGCCCCCACCCAGTGCTGGGGGAGCATCACCAGGCCTGCTCTAGGCTGCACATAGTGGGCAGCATGCAGTGCACAGGGACTCAAAGGCCAGGCAAACTCGGAGACCAAGGTGCTCACCCCGGGCCAAGACCTGAACACGGCGGCTGTCCGGGGCCCCAGGAGTCTGCCCAGGGTGTCGTTGCTGACTCCGCAGGTCCCGGCCATCTGCAGCAGCTGCTCAGCCGGGTACACGGCATGCCGCCCGCCCTCGCCACCTTCATCCAGGGGCTCGATCAGGTGCAGGTCTGAGCCCACCTGGAAGAAGCCCCTGAGGGCAGCAGGAGCCAGGTATGCCATGGCTGCAGGGTGGCCGGACCCTGCCCCGAAGGACCAGAAGCTGGAGTTCATTGCCCACAGCGCCCCCTGCCCTGACACCAGCAGGCCCGAGGGTACAGGAGGCTGAGCCTCTTGGGCTTGGCAGGGCCCCTGAGCAGACCCCTCTGTGTGACCGGGAAGGCCTGAATGTGAGAAGGAGGCGCCCTCCCACCCGGCTTAGGCCTTCCTCTCCCGCTGCCGGAGCTCTGGTGTTCGTCCCCCCACCCACCTGAGGCCCAAACAGGTGCTGATGCTGGCGGCTGAGTCTGCGTGCCCCTCCACATGGCCCTGGTAGAAGCAGAGGTCCTGCGGGGGAAGCACGAGAGGGTCCACGGCTGTGCCCCCACGGCCCCACAGGCTCGGGGAGGGAAGGCCACCCCACCCATACCTGCCCTCTCGGCTGCTCCGTCACCTCGGAGCCATTGGCAGCTGTGTAGGTCTCTGTGTAGCCCGAGCCCAGCAGGTCCCTGGAAAAGAAGCTCTGTGGCTGCCTCAGCCCTGCCTCAACCCCCACCTCGGCCCCACCTCGGGCCCCCCGCCCCAGGCCCCGCCTCAGCCCTGCCTCGACCCCCACCTTGGCCCCGCCTCAGGCCCCCCGCCTCGGCCCCCACCTCGGCCCCGTGGCCTGGCCCCCTTGGTGCAGAGAGGCTGGCCCAGAGGCTGGACACTGAGGACACCGGTGTGCTGGAGCCAGGCCCAGGCAGCGGAGGGGGGTGCGGGGGAGCGACCTGACCCACTCACCTGTTCTTCCGCAGGTGCAGGGTGAAGCTGTGCCCTGCGGCCGCAAGGACATAGCTCACTCTCTCTGGGTACAGGCCCTGAAGGAGTGGGGGGGCCCTGGGTGAGCAGCCTGCCTGGGCTGCACCCACCTCAATCCTGGGCACCAGAGA